ATTTTCTCTTCAATTATCTTCTGATCTTTCTGTGGAATGACCACCTATCTTTCAAAACTGGTCAAATTCTATCTCTTTTGGGAATCATTTCCATCTCCCTTCAGTGGGATGTGGGTCTCCTCTCCTTCATCTGGTTTTTTGCATGACAGTTACAGATTGTCATAGCAACTTGTAAGGTGCTTCTCACCCTCCTACTGACCTCTAATGGCTTTGCTTAGCTCCTGGCCCCTGGTCAGCAAGTGTGCATTATGTTAAAGAGTAAATGAATGAGCTCATAGTCCAGGGTAGGCACAGGGCCTCGATCAACTTTTCCAGGAATACCCCAATAAACGACGCTCAAAAATGGAAGAATTAACGAACTTCTATCCCCATTGACCTCTGGTATTCTCTCTTATAGATACAGGCATTGACCAGTTCAACTGAATTGAATGAGGGACTGACAATGTAACAAAATTCATTGTCCATATTCGATTAATAAGGACACACACATGCACACACAGACACACACAGCCACACAGATGTGCACATGCACACACACATCTTTGGTTTCCCTGATGTAGTCTGATTTTTGATTGGGCTAATAGTAATAATACCTAACACATATTACTGTCTCATATCTGGCACTTTCCTTAGTAGACCTTAGAGCATTTTATCCTCAGAAAAACTTGTCAAGATTGACACTATTATTTTCAATGGTTGTCAGAAAGGGAAATCAAGGCAGAGAGCAGTTAAGGAAAGTAATTTGCCCCAGCCACACAGCTCATGAGTGGCAGGATGGGGGTTCAGACATGCCACTGTCTGCTCCTCACCACTGGTCTCTACTGCCCATTCATCTGGGTGACCACCTGAGAGCCAGCTCTCCTGTCATCCTGACAGTACATCAACATGGCAAAACCTACCACGAACACAAGTGCACTGCTTGAGAAGATCCTCCCACACCAGCATCCTCAGCACTTCTGCTGAGTTGCTTAGAGTCTATTAAACTGGAAGTTTCTCAGAAGACCAAAAATGTGGTCAAGCACCCAATTTCCGGACTTCTTAGTGCATTTACCAAACTGATAGCATTCATTTCAATCTCTTGCTAAAACAAACCACACTGACAGAAAACTTCTTGTCTCTAAATCCGTCAGTTCGCTTTTCACAGAGTAATTTTCTCTTGTATATGTTACAATTAGGCAAAGTGGAGGTTATGGGTGAGCCAGCATTACCCTGGAGCTCCTTCTCTAGAAATGCCCAAGTGGCAGATCTCCCTTTCTGCACCAGGTGCTGTGGCTTATGTTGAAGAATCCCCTCACTGCAATGCCAGAAGGCATCCTTCAGAGTGTGGTTGAAATCTAGATCTCAGAGGCAGGAATGAGGTTCAGGGAGATGAAACAACATCCTTATGAGTCTGAAGTAAAGAATGCACTAGAACCCTGGCCTCCTGCATTGCAGTCATGGTTCTGTAGACTGTCCTGTGCATGACTTTGCAGAAATGTTTAGATAAGGTTTGCCTCAGTGACTGGAGCTGCATTGCAATGTGGACATGTCATCTCTTATTCTTAGTAAAATGACTTTTGTTAGAACACATTTCACAATTTTATATTTCACACACTGTAACCCTGCTAACTGTGCCCCTGTCACCAGCTAACTGCTGCCACAATGCTTGCTCCATCACTTGAGGTTTTGCAATGAACACAATTAGCTGCTTCCCAAGTCTTGACCATTTTTAGTGTATTCCTGTTTCTCACTCACTTTTTTAAGGAGTTTCTGTTATTTTGTATCTTTGCTCACATATACCATTTAACCTGAGGGAACAAAAATGTTAACTTATATGTATGGCATCGGTGGTGGCTGAATTCAAAAACATGTTTCAGTTTTTGTAATGGTGTACTTGCAACATTTTCTTTTGCAAAATTACCTCTTTCTGGTCTTTTCCTGGGTCTTTTGAAAATGCTTTGAAATGTATTCAGACTATCAGCTGCTTTTGTCTGGGGAAATCATGTAGTCGGTGTAGAGATCTAATTTCTTTCTTGGGTTGAGCAAGAGCTGTTTAATAGGAAAGATTCTGGCTTCCCATACTCTAAAGCCTGTGCTTCTATGAGGGGTGTTATTTGACCAACTCTTATTACCCAATTTCCCATAAAAACTAGTTTTGAAGAATAAGGCAAAGCATGCTAATGGCACTCCTGCTAGTGGAACCGTGTGGCAGAAGCTACGGAATTGAGTGGCTGAGGTGGAAGACAGAGTGGAAATTTTAAATACTCACGATGTCTGGGTTGTGACTAGGATACGTAGGAGCAAGAGAGAAGAGGTAGAAGTTTTGAAGAGGAAAGGATCCAAAGGAGTAATGAGGATTTGAAGACTGGGGAAAGACCAAAGGAAAAAATAAGAATGATTCAAATTAATCAAAAGAAAACAATACAGATAAATAAAGGTCAGCAATAGTAAAATAAAAAGAGAAGCACAGGAGAAGAGGAGCTAGCCTGAAGATTAGAAATGGCATGACGTGTAGAAACAAAAATTACACAAGAGAAAGAAAGAAATACCATTCCAAGAAGTTTCTCCCTAAACATTCAATGACTCACTATGTCAAAGCCAAAATACCAGCATAAATCGAACACTGATGCAGGCCTCCTATGGATGACAAGCCAGGGCAATCGCTGCCACACTAGCTCATATTTGAAAGTCTCAACCTGCAAACAAAAATATAGCCTATGGATTCCTAGAAATTGTTTTACCTTCTGTTTAGAAAGATTTTTTAAAAGGACATAAGATCCTAAATAAGCACAGTGCGGCAAAAAGTCAATGGTACTAGACACAGGAGACCTGATGCTGGCTGTAAGGCACCAGCATCACCAAAAGAGTTTTTAGCTATGGAAAGTTTTCTACAAAGAAATCCAGAAGCCCTTATCTAGAATAGACAGGTGAAGCTGGCCAATTAGGGCTGCCACGTAGGGAACTTACCTTTCAGTTGTCATGCCTTCCTCCCAAGGGCATCTTGGAAGAAATCTCCAATCAAAGGACACCAACTGTCCTCAGCTCAGTAAGCCAGGGGGCCTTTTCCTTTTTAACAATTGCTTGCCAAACTTAAAAATCAGGAGAGATATATATATATATATATAAAAGCTAAACTGTCAACTCTTTTGAAAAACTAGAGCCTTGGGCCCCTGTCACTCTGTCCATTCTTGTGCAGCAATACACAAGAGCAGAAGGGCAGCATCTTATATCCATGGGTCATTTTCTGTCTTTGCCACAGGACATGCACAGCTAAACTGGATTCTCATTAGGTATCTGAGTTTGCAGCTTGCCCTGCATGAAGAGGCACAGGGCAAAAGCCTTGGATCCATATGACCTCTTAGATGTCTTCTAGCTAGAAACATTTTGCAGTTGCAGGGTGATTCCCATCTCAGGGAGAAGCCACATTTTTAATCATTCTGCTCTCAGGTTATAGCTGTTATATTAGCTTAATCAGAAAGCACATTGATAGTATAATAATGAGGCCATACTGGGTTCAGTGTCTTCTGATCCCAGTCCCTGCCTCCTCATCCCTCATCTACTCCCCTCTCCCAGCACTGAAAGGAACTGAGAATAATAAGTTTTGAGCTCATATTTCAACCAGAACCCCCTTCCTCCTCCCAGGGACCTGGTCACATCCCAGCTCCATAGTCAGGCACATGCTGACATCTTCCTGGAAGTCTCCCCACCCCAAGTAATTGGTCTCCAGTGTCTTTGTTTTTATGTTCCATTTCCTTGTGTTGATCTGCAAGTGGTTGCCTATTCTGTGCATGTTTTAGGATATGATATTGGATGCATTACTTCTTGGGTAACTGGGACAGCATCATTGTATTGTTTAGTGGTTTCCTAATCACCAGGAGGAGCTAAAGAGTTATTTTCTAAGCTGGTATTGCAGACATCTTTTAGACTTCATCTCCTTTCCAAAGAAGGTGGGAATAAAGAATAATGCACAATATGAATCAGGCACAACCTAGTCACTAGTGAAATGCTGAAGAGAGAAGGCCAAGGGCCGAGACTGGAAACACATTTCTCTAAGAGCCAGGAGATTGCCGAGAAAAAACCCTGTGGCCAAAAAGACACAGGAGATGGCATTGCCTTAATTCCAAGGACCACTTTTTTAAAATATAAAATAGCGGGAAGTTTAACATATCAAAAATCAGGCTTACTCAAATAGAGCAGTCCAAAGACTGCAGATCCCCAAAATGAAATGTTACAATCGGGCTCTTTCTAGGGGCCACCTTTCTTGAATTACAAGATGTCATGTATAAAGTCATTTACTACCCATTCTACAATGCCTTTGGAATTCTATGAAATTATTCAAAATGCAGAACAATGTGGAGAATATCTTAGGGGGAGGGGAATGCAAAGTGGCTCTGAATTTCTAGAAACAGGCTGCATTTCTAACTCTGAAAAGATAACCGACTTATGAATACGGTTTAACTTTCATCTAAGAGGTTTTCAAAGCTATAATTGGCATTGTGAGCATTTGGGGAAAAGGAAACTTATTAGTAAAAAGGAGAAAAGTCGGTAAGTCAACTCTTTGAGGTAAATGTCTAAGAGGGGACTGATTCAAAAGCTATACATAGATGTACTTCTTGAATTTGTGAGCACCTGGGAAGGTGGATTTGGGGAAGATGTTAAAACCCACATTGCATGTATAAGTTGTTATGGTCTCGCTGGTACATCTACCCTTTGTGAGACGAACTGTGAACAAGCGTGTGTTCCAAACCACAACACTGCTCTTGGAGAATAGTTTGAAATGCGAGGCTTTCCAAAAACCCAACTGAAACGTGATAAACATTTTTAAACGTCACTATTTGGATGGGGAAGGGAGAAAAGAGACAAACTTAGCGGAGCAGATTCTCTATGAATGATGGATGCCACTGAGGGCCACTGACGGTTCACTCTACTCCTCTCTTTGATGTATGCTCCAAATTTTCCCTTTTTCTTAAAAAAAAAAAAGTGTATTTTTATCAAGAAGAAAACGAAGTGGAAAGTCAAGGAAGGCATTCATTCATCCCAGCTCTCATATAGTCCAAGTGGAGCAGGAGGTCCTTCCCCCCCTGCCACACCCTCTATTTGGGCAAGTCTGTGCGTCACTGTCAGGAAAATGGCTCCCTTCGCAAAAGCGACAATGCCCCTCCATCTAACCATCAGCAAACGCGCTGTATTCCATCTGTAAATGCCACGTGCCTGTGCGGTCTTCAGCGCGAGGACTTCAGAATCCGCTGCGAGATGCCCTTTCTCCGTTTCCTTACATCTCTTACGTAGTTCGGGAATTTCGAGGAGAAAACAACCACATCCAATTAGGGGCAGAAATGGCAATAACGCGCTACCAGCTCCAAGATCACCGAGAGAGAGCCTGAAAGGTGTCTCCAGCCCCAGTAGCAACGCCAGCGGGCGCACCAGCCCGGCACACCCCGCCCGCGGCCGCGCACCCTCGGTCGCCACGCTCAGCTTGGCCGGGGGCAGATTGACCATGTTTCCCAGTCCTTCTTACGCAACGACTTTGCAGCCGTCATCTTCGTCCTAATTGTGCAGGGGCGGTGTTTGTGCGTCGCGCTTTCTCTCCCCCGGGAGAGGCGTCGGGACTTCGTAATCGCTGCCTACGCAGCCCCGTGGAGCTCCGACTCGCCGCCCGGCCCCCTCCCCACGCCTGCCGGCCGTGAGGGTTGGCAGCTCGCCAGCGGCCCTCCCCCGTGCCTCCCCTCTTGCCCACCTCAAGGAGGAGGGGGACTCCTGCGGGTGTGAGGGGAGAGGGGCAGGCGGAGGTCCCTGCCACACCCGAGTCGCCGCAGCCCGCGGCCTGGTACCGGGTCCGCAACAGGTAGCTTGGCCGGCTGCGCGCCCCGAGACAAAAAGCGTCTCTGCGAGGAGCGAGGGTAGCTGGGCTCATCTAGGCGCCGCGGCGACCTGGAGGGCGAAGGCAGCGGCGGGGACAGCGGGACGGAGAGGGTGGGATCTCGGGCCCCTCCCCAGGCTCGCCCCGGTCGACACTGCAGCGCCGACCGTTGCGTAACACTGGATCAGTCGCGGGGCGCGGGTCCTCCCGGTGCTCTGGAGGCGGCGGTGGCAGCGGC